CAACTATTATGACGGTGGATGTTCCTCTAGATTATTTATGAAGGGAGAGGGATTTTCCAACTATAGACCACATTAAAAAAATTATTCTCTAAAATAAAAACGTTAGTACTAAACATTTAGCCAATCTTTTATCACAGACAATAAAATATTCATCTTTTTATCCAAATGAAAACTCCATGAGCCCTTAAGCAAAGTGTACCTAAATTTTAAAAAGTAACTACTTATCTTCTAGCTCTAATCCTGTTTGTTGAAATCGCTCTCAGACATAAATTATTTTGTCTAAAAATTATCTTTGCAAGTACAAGTTTTTTCTTCAGCGGAATCTACCACACTTTCTGGTTCCTACTTTCTTGATTTTCTATTTATCCAACACCTCACATATTTTCCTTTCTCCTTGATAATAATTTTCATAATTACCTTAGCTGTTCTACGTATCTCCCATTATTATTCAGGTCCGTGTTCGTGTCTATCCATGGGGCATGGTGGAAACAGAAAACCTGGAACACAATGACTTCTCTGCCCTTAAAACTCTATTGTTAAACACCCACATGCAGGTTAGTCGGCTATTTTTACAAATTAATTTATCTTGGCGCCATTTTATTTCTACCTATTGTATATGCCATTATGCAGTTCATTATTAGCTTTAAAACTATATTTGCATTTAATTTTACTGTCTTTTCAGGTTTACATTTATTTGTAGCATCGATCATTGATTTATATTTCTAATTCACGTTTCCTTTATTAATTTTAAACATATTTTTTCGCTGTTCATTTGCTTTTTTCGATTGTTCTTCCTCACCGTCCAGGATCTGATCGAGGTGACGCATGTTCTACACTACTCTAATTATCGAGCAAACAGGTTGACTGGCATCGCTGAGGCTGGTCGTTTCACGTCGCGCGATGGACGTGACCCTTTAGCTCAGTTGGAAGCGGATCGAATCGAGCATCAGTCTAAGCTGGCCAAGTTAGAGCAAGAAATGGAGGCCGTTTTTGAGCAAAAGGCAACTACGATAAAGATAAAAATATCGCGGTTACATTTTTTTATCGATTTTATTTAGTTTTGTGGTTTCGATTTCACTTACTCATATTTATCAATTGTTTAGCACCGAATTCATCCTTTTCTTTTTCTTCCTGGAATCGGTATATGATATCATATCCATTATCATATCGATATCTTATATATTTTTTCTTGATGTTTTTTATTATTTTGCTTATTTTAATTAACCTAAATTTTTTTTAACTATTTGTATCTTACTTTTATTTTCATTCTTAAATTTCACATTAATCCTTAGGTGCGCGAGCGGGCCACCAAGCTGGCTGAGACAGAGCGTAATCTGAAAGAACATGCGGGCCAGATGCAGGCTGATCTAGCCCAGAGAATGGTTGAGCTCGACATTCAACGACGGCAGTTTGAGGAAGAGCGTTCGGCCTGGGAGGTTGCTAATAAAGAGTCATTCGAGGTGAATACAAGGCTTGTTTTCTTTTTATCTTATGTCGATATCTTCATCTTATCCTTGTATGTATTTATATTTTTTGTTGATGGAATAAAATTCTTGCGATACCAAGTAGATATATGCCTAGTTTCATTGGCCTCATTGGTCTAGGTTCTATTGTGCCTTTGCTGAGCTCACTTGCACACTTTAAATTTCCTACTCTTAGTAGTATATAACTCTCCTACTACTAACATTTCTTTCATGACTTATTACCATTTTATGCATTTGTTCATATTTTCTTATCTACGATCATCACAAATATTTTCTTTTACATTAACCACTCAGCTATACAGCTTGTCAGGCTCTTTTTCAACCAAAGTTTAGTCCCAAATATTTTTCACTACACACCTTTAATTCTTTTCTGAATCTTTACCATACATTTATGTATTTGTATATATATTATATCTCTTGCTATCTAAACCTAATTTATTTTTCCCTGCTCTTTCGCTACCCCTTTATCTCCATGGATTTAACTTCTTTCCCCCATCACTTTTTGTTTTTTTCTGTTCAATTCTAATTTTGCTTCACATAACTTATCTCTTACTTCCTTATGCAACTTGTGCCTCCATATTTATCTTTTCCCCCTTATTTTATCTTAAGTCTTTACCGATTAATCGCATATTTTGCCATTTATATTATATATTTTTCATATCATATTATCCTCACCACTCTTATATGATCATTATACTAACACTACACAAAAACATCTAAATTAATCACTTCTATGCTCATCCTCTCTATGACTTTTCTTCATGTCTCCATAAGCACCTATACCTGGTGCCTCCTATTGTGGCTGGCTTTCGTCGAGCCCTTCATCTTTTCGAGTCTAGCCTACAAAATCCGCCTCGGCCAGCTTGGCCCTTGCGTAAAACTAGTGATCTACCGTCTATTAACAGTGATCGGCCATCAACTGGCACTCTTTCTACATTAAGCCGGCCTCCATCGCCTTTGGCATCGGGCCGTCACCAATTTACTCTAAACAAGAAGCAGAATTTTTCTGATTCCTCATGTTCCATAGTCACCACATCAGCTCTAAATGATGGAATTTTGCAAATATTACCACCATATGAAAATTCGGAAAATTATAGTACGCTGGTAAAATCTTTTCATGATTCCCTTAGAAGATCCCCCTTAAATAAAAGGGCTGAAACGCCGACTACTTCAGATGCTAGCATAGAGCCTTTCTTGTCGATAAACTGTCCTGCGGATGGAGATTGTAAATCTGAATTTCCATTAGACCATTCAAAGTTTATTTCCTCGGAGGAAACTGCACCATGTCGCCCACTATCTGGGCCTTCGAAATGGCCATTTGCTAAAAAAACCGAGCCTCAGCTCTGTGAACCTTTGAACCCTTCCTATTATAAGAGATATGACCTACCGATTATCGGCACTGATAATGATATCCGAGCCGGAGGTCTTCCAGTTTCCTTAGCTAGGAGGAGGCAACGCCATTTGCGCCGGTCTAGAACCATGATGCTTCGTCCTCGATTCAATTTGACCCATGGCCGACAGACCAATCCTGAACTAATCCGCAAGCAAACTAGAATCAGACGGCCAATTGACTCTTGCCGTCGTCAGCGCAAGTCTCGAAGCTGTCTTAATTTGACTGCTAATTCATTCAATGGATGCGGTGTTCGTAGTGTTAGAAGTACGGCAAGTGATACAGACAGTGATAGTGCTAATGGCAAAAAAAGCCTTTTTTGTTCTGTCCCTTTGGAAAAGAGAGCTTCAGTCGTTTTTCCATCGGCTCCATCATCACCATTGCCTCCGTCACCGACACAACCTAGTTTTGCTCCATTATCCTCTTTGGAGGCATCTAATCTCAATTTCTACTCTTCATTATGCCGACAAGATATGGTCCCTCAGTCAAGTTTCTCTGGCATCACTGTCAACCAGAGAACAATAACCGGACAATCATTTGTACGCAGCTTTCCATCTCGTCTATCAGCGTGGCTACGGGCGCCTACATATCAGTTAACGGATATGCCAGCAAATTATCTGTGCGATGCTAAATCTTCTACTGGATATCGATTTAAAACTGCTCTTCACCGGAAGGATGATACTCGTCTTCAAGATATAGGAAAACCAACACCATCTTCTAATGAGCCTTATGATTCCAGCTTTCGCCAAGTTGATATGAAACCTGTTAATAGGCCAGAGTGGAGGGGATCTGCTTATACCCTGGATCCAAGTCGACTCGAGCCACTTCCAGGTTTCGCCTACCATGGTGTTCCTTTCTCCTTATTAGATCCGATCGTCTTGCGTCGTGACCAAGTCAATTGCTCTACCTGTCTGAATTCGGTATCCATCCCCTTGACTTCTAATCTCCATCACTCTCACTTATAGTTTCACAAACAATTCGCTCATTTTCGTATTTTGTCATTTTATCCTTACTCGTTGCATGCTATTTTCTTATCTAGCAAACATTTCTTTTCACCATCAAGTTACTTTTTTTTTCTAATAATACTGTTCTTGTTTCTTTTGGTTTCTCACTTATATTACTTATTTAGTTTATTTGTTCAATTTCATATTAGCTCCCCTTGATTTTTTTGATTTATCTTGTCTTCAAAATATTAATTTGTACAATTTTTTTCTTTTTTTAGCTGCAGGGTATACAATCGTCCCTTGAAAAGCTAGACATCAAGGAAAAGCAAAAGACAAAAAGAAAAGGCATTTTCTAGACGAATAATTTGCTTTTTTGTCCTGCTACATTCTATCCTTGGTTTAGTTTCCTACAAATGCTTTAAAGTGATTTCCTCCTTTCTCTTATGTACGAATGATTGACTCCTTGAAGAGTGATTTTTAATTTCAACCCCCTTCCCCGAGTTTTTCTTTGTTTACTCCTTCCATGATTTGGTTGATTTCAGACTTTATTTTACGCGCTTTTTTTCGGTTTGGCAGGCGTTATACCTTTTGGGTTACTTGTAGTGAATTATGAATCTTATCGTACGAACAGCTAATTCATACCACTTATTTGCTTATATATTCACCCTGTAACTCTTACGATCTCAGTCTTTCCTGAATCTTTGGTGACTCCTTTCCCTTTCACTTCATAAAAAGCATACTTTATGAGATTGTGTCTATCTATAACATTTCCTTCTCACACATCATACATTTAACTAATATTGTACGTGCACATCCTTTGCCTTGTTTAGTTCAAATTTATGCGATCTCCACATTTAACGATAAAATTTTGCTTCTTTGTTAACTCTAGGAATACCTTTTTGTTTTACTCATCTGATTTATTTTATACTCATTTTCCATTCCTATTTCGTTCTCGTTTCAGAATGGCAAAAATCAAGTTGCATCGATCCAATTAAGAAATTATTAGAAGCAACTAATTTATTCTAGAAACTTTAGCATTTATATTACTCGCCTGTTACGTTTCACATACACAAAATATCGTTAATCGACAAATAAATGGCGGATTTTTGTTTATCCACGATTTACCCCTAATTAAATTTTA